ATAATTTTTCTGAATGCATACCTTGATCAACCAGAAGTTATTATTACTTAATGGTTAACATATAGTAAAACGAATTTAGTTTGTTTCTGAATTTGAACGGTTATTATTATCTCAATTTTGTATTTTTACTTGCTCTTGTTGTTATTTATGTAACTCACTGGACTTTTTTTTCCATATTTGACTATAAAATCCCGGTGTGGATATATTATTAAATAAAATTCTTTGTAGAGGGCAAATTAATTAAATACCTATAACGCTAGTATCATGAAAATATTATGATGTGATTATTGAGGCTTGTGTACTTCATTCTATGTTATATTTACATTTTATATTTATGTTTTAGTGACTACTGTCAGTTTATTATGAGTCAAGAATTGTGCCAAATTTGTAATTTGTTTATACCATCTGGGGCAGGTAAGTACAGTAAATTAAGTAACTACTAAACTAGGTTTGAAAATCAAATCGTAAAACTTGCAAGTATAAAATAAAGTATACTATTTGAATACTAATTTAATATGATATTGATAATGCAAATAATTGTTACTTTAATGTTAGTTATCACTGGATAAAACTAAAAATCCATATTTTGTTCACTGTGTGAATCAAAATAATATAAAATAATCTGTTTAAGAAGTGACAACTTCAAACAAATGAAATTGTTTATTTGAAGTTGAAACTGAATGAAAAACGAACTTTAGTTTTAGAAGTTAGAGTAACTAGTAAACTACGCTTTGTCGTGCTTTGATCTACTCTGAGTCATATTGAACACCGAAAAGGAAATTACTACAACCTAAATTGTTGTTTATTTTGTTTTCTGAATTGACTTCTGTGTAAAATGGCTTATATGACAACTAGAAAATTTTATAGATCATCAAAAGTAAATGAAGATTCATCAGAAAGTGATCAGGAACTCTCTCCTGTTATAAGTCTTGATGACTATAAACCTTCATAGTCCAAGGACACTGACTAAACTACATCAGACATCACTGATACAACAGTTGCTCCAATGATGATAATGAAGATGTACCAGTGACATCAAATGTAAAACATACATGGAACACATTGGAAAGTTTTCCAATTGACTGTGATACCAAGAACAACAGGAATAAATATTTTGCAATAAAATGCAACAAAACCAATTGATGTATTGAACGTGAGGATAATATTTATAATCTCTTGGTTGATCAGATGAATCCTGAATACCCTGGAGGTAATTATGAACAAGCAGTTACATTGAACATCCCAGTTGAGCGATTGGAGTTTTAGGAATTGTCATGTATATAAAAAAAAAAATACACTGTACTGGACCAAAAAGAATTAAAAAAAATAAATTTGTTCCCAGGATCATGAGATGAAACTGCTTTTAATTATTAAGCTTCATATACTATTCTAATAATCAGAGTGTTGGAATGGATCGACTGGGTAAATTGGAAACCTGCCTGAAGTTCTGGAGAAAATTTCACTAGAGCTAAGATACCTGGTGACCTGATAGTGTTGATAAAAACTATGGTGATGTGGCATGTACTGTGACCCTCCAGTGGGTCACATGGCAGCCAATGTGTTAATAATAATAATATACTCAGAATTGCATGATGGGAAATTTTTGTGGATTTGTGTATGTTTAAAAAAAAAAAGTCTTATAAAAGATTTTGAAATACTGGGTACTGTTCTTATGATGCAGAAAATATATTGCAGTATCTTATTTTTACAAATAAATTATTTCAAACATGACATTCCCATGAGATTGAGAATGTAGCATTTAAAAAAACAAAAGCTAGAGTTAAAATAAAAAAAAAAGCTTTACATTGTTGCATAATTAACTTTTTTTTAAATACCCAGTATTAAAGTTACATGTTCATAATATTACTATAGAACAAGAGGGAATTCTCAGTAGATCTGGCACTTAATTTCAGGAATGTATGTCGAGAGCCAGCACGGGCCCCCTTTCTCTCTTTCTTTTTTTAACATTTTCAAAAATTTATTAAAAAGAAGATCTTAAATTAGAACAGCAACGAGCTCATAAACCATACAAAATCATAGCAGCAGCCGTTTTTACGTCACAGTATAAACATAAAAACAT